TTTTAGATGCCTTTAACAGCCTGTCACCTGTGTTGCGTGTTTCCTATGGCCCCTGACAAACTTATGTTTCAGGTAGTTTTCTAAATGCTAGGGGTTCATTTTATCATGGGAGTTTTGTTTTAATGTGTCAACTAACATAATGTTTGTCTCAAAGACGCCTCTGGCCACTACTGTTTTGTTTGGCTCTGTTTTTTTTTTCATTTAAGGGTTTTTTGTTGATTCATGTACTTTCTTATATTATCACTTTCCACAGTTCTGATTTAGCCCTGCGGATTAACCTTAGTTTTCCTGTGTTGGTTAGCCCTTTCCCCTGTACATATTTTAAACAGATTTTTGTTCCCCTAGGGCCTGGTGAAGCGTGGTTGCCTCACTTGGTGGAGGGTTGGTGGCAGAGTTCCCTACTTCAGGCCCATCACTCCTCAAGTGTTGTAGTATATGGTATATATGAGTGTGGTTCACGGAGCTCCAGTGTGTGCCCTAACCATATTTTATCATTTAAAGCTTATTTGTACCCTGTTTTAACTATAACCCCATACCGTATATATATTATATATATATATATATATATATATATATATATATATATATATATATATATATATATATATATATATATGTAAATCTTTTAAATCATCTCAGTTCCTCATTTTACCTACCATCTGCAGTTCTTACCTGTGTTTCAAGTGGCCCCTTTGGGTTACAGCTGGTATTGTTCGTCTATTTGTTAAATCAGCCCCCCGTTGTTCTGAGCTGAACGCCAGTCCCTCTTTATGGACTACAAACAGCGCTGTGATGTGCTCTCCTCAGCCATGTGCTGTTACGTCACTGTCTTTGATTAAAAATTAAAGCAGGGGCTGTAGCCTTTGGACATGGAGAGACGTGTTGAAGTAACCTTGGCTTGAACTGGTGGAAAAAGGGTTTTATAGCTGTCAAACCATCGCACTGCAGTTGGCACATTGTCTAGTGTTTACTTTGGAGATACGTAAACTTTAGCTTGACTTTTGTGACAGAGAAATCAATACACAAAGCCTACGCAGTCTTACTGGGATGGTTGTTCTGAAAGAAGTGTGCAAACAGTGAAAAAAAATAAAAATCTCAACCTATGCAAGCAATACAATCCAATATAACAGGAAGTTTGTTGTTAAGGAAATTTGCCAACCTGATTTCTTTTTTTTGGCCAACTCATTTAGCAAGTCTCAAATAAGGAAGATGTGTATTCAAAGCTGAGTCTACATTTTAGCAAATTACTTTCCGTCTTGTCTCTCTTGTGATAGATGGGTTTAACATTGGAGATAAGCAGGTGGTGGATCCTCCACTACAAATGTTGCGCAGTGCACCTTTAATGAAATGGATGACACCACTGTATTATTGAAAACTCATTATATGTATGAGTTTCTACCAATCAAAGACTCTTAATACAGTCTCTGTTCCACCCACAACCCCTTATACTGTAACATAATCAAAGTGCTTCTATAAGACACACTATGACACACATGTCCATTGCCAAAACCTATAATAGCTGTCAGCATTCACAATAACAGCCAGTGTCCCATTGATTATGTGCCTCTATGTTCCATAGCACAAGGCCATAGGAATAGATTGGCTCATCAGAACACACTCATGTGTGGGAGGTGGATGTGTGCTGGGATGTTTCAGTGCATTGGAATTCTCGAGTTTTCTTTTGTTTTGTTGTGACTATGCAGAGTGTTGCAGAGTATGTCTGAGTATTTGCTTCATTGTCCTTGAAAAAAACATGAAAGCAAGTGTTTACAAGTGAAGGTGTGTCTGGTGTGAGCTCAAACAGGGCACGGACTGTGTAATTAAGACAAGTGTTACTGTTGCAGCTAGAAAAAAGGTAACTTTTTAACTGTAAGAGGGCATATGGCCAAATGTTGTCTCCATGAAGATATAATGTTCTGCAAGTGTGGTCTTACCCATCCACTTATCCATTTTACAGGGGTATATTGATAAAAAAAATCTATTGAAAAAAATGCATCGCAATTGCCTCTGTTAGATTTGACTTGTAATTGGACCTGCCACCTGCTAGTTTGCAGAGGGATATGCATGTTTAATGCAGCACTGTGCAACATTTCTGGCAAAGTGGTAACATGTCCATGCAGAAAAGCAGGTGGCACACCCAGTTATCAGTAAAATTATATAGTAATCTTTAATCTTATCTTTTAAGACATACAAGAGACATACAAAAGGTTTTCCACCAGTTAGGCTGTCTCTGCACTTCCGATGGTCCCCAGTTCATGTGTAATGTTATTGCATTTCATTGTGCCTATCTTGTCGATTGATTAATCTTTTACATTGGATCCTGCTTACATTTTTTTCATAATGTGCTCCATTTGAATAGATTGGATGAGGAGCTCAGTCAGCTGGGAGCTTGGAATAGAGCCACTGCTCTTCCACATTACATAGCATTAAAGAGAATGGATGTGGTTCTGAATTCTGTCCCAAACACGGACACATTTTCTTTAATTTCCAAAATAATTTCACTTAGATGGGATATGAAAATTCCCATCTCATATAGTTCTCATAACAAGTTATTGTCATAGAAATGTATATTATTTTTGGTTAAAGGCCTTTATTAAGTATCCAACATAGAAAGGATAGATTTCTCTCCCACATCCCTTGTTGCATCTAATTTTAGCCTGGTGCACCTGTCATGTGCTGTGGCCCACCAGGTGATAACCCTGTATTTGAACACACAGTGATTACCCACAAGGCATTAAGAGAGCGGTCTTATCATGGCCCTTTCTGCTGTTGCTTTGACATGTATTTCTATGGCTATGATTCATGCGTAACTATTTTTGTGACATTTAAAACACTCGTCTCGATGTTGTTGCTCTAACCATTGGGCTGTCTGTCCTGTCTCTGCGGTGTCAGCCATATCACACAATCCAGATACGAGACAGAAAGCCGGGCTCACTAGAATGTGCTGGCTCCTAATTACAAGTCAAGAGTGACAAGTGGTGCATGGAGGAAGGAGAGCAGAGCACTTGGGTTTTGACAAAAATATTCAGAGCTAAATTCAGAAACAGTGAAATGTTGAAGTTTACATTTACAGCTGTGGCACCTGAAACTACCAAGAGCTGCCTCAACTGGATGTTTGAATGTAAAGGCGTAGTGTGTACTATTTGATAATGCATATATTTTCTTTTCTTTCTTAGTAGTTTGTCAGCCACGGTGCTATGCTATCCCATGTTTGTCAACCCGATACATCATGGGAACCTAATATAAAGGTACAGTGAACTTACCAGCATATAATTTAAATAAGGAGGCTGTTCAAAATGCAACAGGAAAAAGATGAAAATAAAATTCATTAAAACAGCAAATGAAGTCATGTTTATTTTTAAAAGCTACAGAACAATAGTAAATCTTATAGCTCCAGCTGGCGGTTTTGAGCTTGGTTCACATCAGCATGTAATTACAGGTACTTACAGTGGAATTGAACATCTAAACTCCTCCCACAACCACATTTCAAATACAGCTGCTTAATTGGGCAGGACCTGAAGGACTAAAGGGAAGAGTGAAGGTGAAGGAAGGGGCGGGTACTGAGAGTGTAAGAAGAATGTGAGATTGTTTTAACAGGTGTCCAAACTCCACCCCTTCAGCCAGATGTCTGTCAGTAGCAACAAGCGGCTGTAATCATGGCAGTTCTGCATGATGTCATGTAGCACGTGAAATTGTAGTGGCCACTGGAGTCAGCACACATGATTATTATTAATATTTTTATTTTTTTTACAGAAAGCTGCAAATATATAGCCAGGCTGGTGCCACGTAGTGCCTCCGCTCAATTCAAATCAACATTAGACGGTTTGCAAGAACCACAGAAGTTGTAGACCGCGCACCGGCCGATCAGCAAAAGGCTGTGAAGCCATGATGTCAAACTCAAGCGCCTGTCTGGGTACGTTTTGTGGTAAGCACAACAGTAAACAAAGTGGTCAAGATGGATGTAGATTCTGTGTTGGCAACGATTCCCAAGATTGAGGATTTAAAGCCGGAACGAGAGTCGAGCTGGAAGAGAATGTTTGGTGAATTTTATCTTGGGGAAAGATGTTATTGCCTTTCTTCCTATGGAATTTGGCACATTACATACGTCAGGACCAAATAGCAGAGACTGGTTAAATAAAAAAAAAGTATCCGCCTACTGTCGAGCGAACAAATCCTGTGAGGTCAGACGATTTCCATGAAATGAAACCGGCTGATGAATCAGGCTAGCAATTATAAGGTTTGTATTGGAATTGCCAAATAGGACTGGGAACGTACACATTATAACTACACCAGATACAGAGTTTAATAGAAAAAAGCTAAAAAGAAGAGCTGATTTAGTGCTTAGGTCAACTTTAAATGATAACCTTTTAATTATATGAATTCACTCAAGGCAATTTAGAACTCCAAATTATTAAGCTTTGTATAACTACAGTATAACAACAGTGTACCCCAACTACAAAGAAACCACAGCGGTACAGTCATCGCAACAGCTGTGTGATCAATATCTACTAAAAGTTCAGATAAAAATAGATGACATTATCCAATTCATTATTTTGTCTCTATCTGACATATCTAAATTGCTATGAGTTTTACACGGCTGCTGAGATCCTTTTAGGTCATTCAGGTTCAAATTTAACAAAATAACTATAAATGATGATCTCATTATTTGCCGCCATTGTCACCGCAGCTGCAGCATCTCTATATGACTGTAATGTACAAATGATTAATTGTATAAACATAAATTGCTGAGATTGTCTGGCACTGCTTCTGAGTCATGCAGATAATGACTATAGAAAAAAACAAACAAACAGAAGAAATGAAAAACTGAAGAAATAAAAGTGGTTTTGAGTGCAGCTGTGTGACTCTATGAAGCGTGTCAGTCTATAAGGGCTCAGGCATTAACCATCTACGGCGTCAATGGTAAAAATCATCTTTAAATATGTGCGCTCATGTACTTTGAGTTGTCTTTATTCATGTTGAAGGGTTAGGGGTGAGTGTACCTCCTCTCCTGTTGAGCTTGGCGTATCCCGGGGCGTATCCATTGGAGAACACAGAGGAGCTGGTGAAGGCTGTGTGCGACAATGGGGAGGCAAGGGGCTCGTCACACTTGTCTGAAAGAGGAAGAGAGGAAGAGAGGGGGAGAGGAAGAAGGGAAGAGAGGGGGAGAGAGGTAGCAAGAGAGGGGCAAGGTGGTAAAGGAGAGGAGGAAAGAGGAGAAAGAGGAAAAACAAAAAGGAATTGGTTAAAAAATATGCACTAACAAAGCATCACAACATTGAACAAATACTGTACTGCATTAGGAAAGTTAAAATCTAAAAATAACCCTTGAAAATGTAATACAGGAACAGCCAGAGATAGTGGCAAAAATGTGTGGGTGACTGGAGCTTATTCCAAGAACTGTGTGCATTAGCAGGGTGCACTCAATTTGTTGGCTAATTTGATGCTGGTCTAACACTTGCAGCATGAGTTCATTTGCATAAAAATGATATCTCCGTTTTAAAAAATTGTCCAAAAAATGATTTATTTTTGTTGCTATGGTCTACAAGTAATATTAGCAAAGATTTTAAGGGATTTGATAATTTAAGATTATTAAGATTAAGATTTTCTGGCACAAAAATAGATTGCATAATTGTCAGTGTGCGTCTTTGTTCAGAGAGCCCCCTACTGTGTTCAATAAATGTTACTAAAAATATAATATTACGAGCCAATACTGCAATACACGCTGTTATTTTGAAGCTGTTGTATCGTAAACAATAGGGCAGCAATGACAGCAAATCATCGTTCAGCACATTTCCAGGGTAAATCCATTGAACTGAAGTCATCACAGAAAGACATGAGAGCAGCAGTTTGAGGTCAGGGAGGATGGCCCCTTGGCACAGCTTTACCGAGGGGCCAGAGGGAGGCACAGATCAGCTCCTATCACTCTACAAATCAATCAAGAAGGGGTGACTTTTCACATGGTTACACCTGATCCAGTGGTTATACTTGGAAGGGTGACCAATTCTAAAAATGGCTTTTCAGTCTGGTGAAGTCAGTGGCTATATGTTTACAAGCACACCGGAAATCTGAATATTATCTGATTTCAGGAGTTATCAGATTATTGATTGTTCATATTGGTGCAGGTTTTGACAAAAGGAAATGGAAAAAGAAAATGTTAAATACTGAAACAGTGCTGTCCACATATGTCCAGCATGTCCACTCGGTAAGAAATTATTACAATATGCATCTCATGGTATGATATTTATTGCGATATTTTGAAGAGGCTAATTTTACTGTAGATAGGATACTTTTTTTTTTTTTTTTTAAATACCTTGACAAGATTTTGGTGTGAATTATTACCATCGTAATCCCAAGAAATCAAGCAAAAAACATATCTGCATATTGTCTGCGCTGAAATGAATCATGGGATATGTAGTTCCCAATGTTTATTAGCTAGTACTACTATAAAACAATGCATTTAAGCAAAAGAAACTTGTAATTCAACATAATGTACCAGCGGTATTATTGTGAGACTTTAGACGATACGATATCACCATATTTCAGTAACTGTTACATCCCTAATGTTCACTATGCCGAGGTCTGATTTCTTTACCACATTCACCAAAAATCTGATATAATTATTGTCTTATATTTGATTCACACATTTAACATTTAATCCTGCATATTTAGGCTGAGTTCTTCTCTCAAACAAAAAAAATACAGGAAGTGCTCTGTGTTTTGAAACTCAATGCACCTTCACTAGAATCATCAGAGAAAGAATTTAATGTAAAGCTGTTAACTACCACTACATGACATCACAATGTGGAACAGAGCATTTACAGAGTTGGAGATGTAGAAAGACTAATAATACAATATATCGGGTTACTCAAACGAGTATAAATGAAACAAAACACAGCACAACTCCAGGTATGTTTTTGAGCAGATAAACATTAAAACATGGCCTAAAGCTCACAAGAGTCAATTTAGCTTAACATAGGACCCTTTTACATTCGTTTTGATTTTCTATACCATGAAACATTGATTTTGTGTGGCTTCATAAATGCCCAGTATTTCTACTTGTCAGAATGGATGAAGTGTAAACCACTGAGTAGCCAAGAGGAAAATGGAAAGCAGATCAGCAGTGTTGCATCACTCAATCCAGGCTGACCTTGCTGCCAACCCACCAGGAACGGGACTCCAGCAGACCCCAGGCCAGAACACTGTAGCGGGCTGTAGTAGATCTAATACATGAATAAATACACAACTGGAAGCACTCAGACCAGGGACCTCCACTAAGGCATTAGCTATACTCTGCAATGGTAAATAGACTGTCATATTTCCAAATTCATGGGCAGGAAAAGCACTTTAAATTAAGATAACATTCTCCAATTCTGAATGATGGAAAGGTAGATACAGAGAGTAGAGAGCCAGGCAGGCACCACCTAGTGCCTCTGCTCAATTTCATTTCTCGCCAGCGACTAGGTCAGTAATCGGAATAGACGAAATGGTTTGCAAGAACCCTGGCAGTTGTAGACTGAGCACTGGCCAGTCAGCGAAGAGCTGTGAAGCCATAACTGGGTCCCTATTGTGGTACAGCACAACAGTAAACAAAGCGGTCGAGACAGATGTGGACGAAGCCATACAGTCTGAGATTGAGGATTTAAAGCTGGAACAAAGAAAATAGTGAATTTTATCAAGTGGAAAGACATTATTGCCATTCTTCCTATTGGATTTGGGAAAATCTTAATATACCAAATAACAGCGATTAGTTAAATTAAAAAAAGTACCTGCCTACCGTCGAGGGAACGAACAAAATGTCTTGCTCAAGGACACAGTTAGAATCAAAATGCTAATAATGCATAATAACGGCCATCTCTAGCTCACTGAAACTTGATTGAATATAATAAAAGTATAATTATATATACTATAATTATCTTTTTCTACATTTTCTTTTCTTCTCTGTACTTAATTTATCTGACAATATTCCAGATTGTTCTACATTGAAAACATGTCATTTCATTGTCTTGCTGATTGACCTTTCCTGAAACTTTAACCCAAACCCAACCAGCCCTTTTTCAGCTACCTCCCTCTTCACCTCACTGCCCAGCTCCAACGTACCCATGTAAGAATACAAATCCACGCCACATTCAATTCTTTTACTCCACAAACGCATCAAAGTCTTCTACTACATTAGGTCTCACACAGGGCTATTGTGAGTGGTCGGTCAGAGCGGGGCTAAGACACAGTCCCTATCTCCTGACAGGTGGCACTATCAAAGCCTGTGTGCGCCAAGTATGTCATTGTTTTTATCTGCCCCACTGTTTGGGAGCAGCGGGGTGGTCCTGCCGCACTGTGGGGGGCACGCAAAGAAAAATCAAACATAATTAAATTCAGAGTTGAAAAGGGTAACGAAAATGTGTTTGTGTGCAAGTATAAGTAACAAAGACAAACATTTAAGCAAGTAAAATGTACAAGTAATTGCAAATATACAAACGCCTACAGGAAAATATAGCAAGGTACATGTTTAAAACAATAAAAATGACTTAAAATCGATGGTTAAAATAATGAAATAGCACGTCTAATGTAAATGCTGAAGCACTCAGGTCTTTAACAAGCCTTCATTAGTGCATACTATTGTTGTGTCCTTGGGCAAGACACTCACTTTGCCTATGTATGAATTGAGAAAGTGATGCAGCTACAATCTTATGACCTTATTGCATAAATATAATAAAAAATCTCCCCACTATTGCAAAGAAAAAGTATTCTGAACCCCAAATATATATGTTCTAGCTATCATATATTCAACAATAAGTCAATATTGTAATTATCATGATAAGTAATGACAGAAAACTCTTCACTCGTAGTCATTTGGGTAAGTTGTGATTCATGCGATGCACCCTTGGGTACATTTTAGCTGCATGAAAATCCAGACGGAATAGACTGTAGCCTCAGCATTGACATGTGAATAGTTATTTTGTGTTTTGACAGCTGATACACTCTAGTTCTCCTGTATAAACATCCCAACATAATGAGCGCCCTGGCCACTGACCCAGAGCTGGCACAGTGGCACATCCGCTAGCAGTCATTAGCTAACTGGCACACGGGCACTGGACTGACTCGAATTCACTGGAGGGTACTGTCAGGAGAAATTGTCCAGTACAGGATTTCTTTATCGCAAAATACATTTAGACCTTGTCAGAGATTAAGCGTGTCGTGTCATCCTTACTTTTCTATTACATTTGAGGGATCCCAAATGTTAGAGCACATATCCTTATTACATAGTTAATGATCAAAATTCTTGTTTACAAATATAGGGTTGCATGAACTATCAATTTAAAGTTAACTTTTGTGCGCTTTAAGATATGTTATAATGCTGTTACCTCCTCAAAAACATACCTGGAGTTGTGTTTTGTTTCATTCACACATTTGAGTTAGGGCTGGGTATCATTAAGAAGTTGCCGATATGACACATGCCTTGATACACAGGCCACGATATGACACACATCTCGATACAGTGCAGTTTTGATTCAATACGATATATTTCAAATCGAATCAATACGGTTCAATAAAAATAACAGCTAAATCGTGGCTGTGATAGTTTAAGTCTGTTAAACGACATGTTAAATCACTTTTTATACAAAGTTAATATGAAAAAACACCTATTTTAATCCTCAAAACACTGAATATGTCAAATGTGTTGCATAAACCAGTTTCCTTCCTCTGAACAAGCAACAAAACTGTAGCACTGTAACAAAATAATTGAGTAAAATGTACTAAAATATACTCTTGGCAATATATTGATACAGCAGCCCATGATATCGATACTGTATCATCACATTAAACGATACGATATAACGATATTTTGATATTTTTGCACACCCCTAGTTTGAGTAAGCTTTTATTATGTGTCTGTCTACACCTCCAAAGGTCGAAATGCTCTGTTGTACCTTTACCTTTACCTTGTTCAGCATGGATTGTCAATTCCAAGCTAAAATTACTGAAATGATTCTAGTGAAGGTGTCTGCAGTTTAAAAACACAGGGGAGCACTTCCTGTATTACTACTTGATATCTCAAGGTGGAACAGTATTTTGTGTTTGAGAGAAGAATTCTGCTAGCTTTGTGTGTTAAACATGTGTGAATGAATCAAAATAA